AGTATGATATTAGGATTCGGATTTCGAGGCTACTTTAGTCCAGTACGGCGGAGGACGGGGAGGATCTACGCAGTTCGCGTATAAATATGGATACCTCAATATCGAGCTATTTGCAGACATCCATTACATCATTCTAAACACAACCTCACTGCTTATTTCCATGACGCAGATGATGCTTCAACTTAGGTCTCTGATGGGCTTTCATCGGTCCCGCGCGACCGGTCTGTCGAGCCACTCACTGGATGCGGTTCTCGCACCCGGACGTGTGAAACGCGGCCTCTATGGAGAAACTCGAATTACAAGGTCAGCACCATCCCCAAATCGTGAGGGCCATGGTTTCTCAGCCAGGAAACCGCCCTGGGACTGTCCACCCTCCAACGTAGGAGAATGCAGTCCTTACCAGAAACCACCAGCCTAAAAATAATTTACAAGTGAAGGGAGTTCCTAAGTGTATCTCGGGCATGGTCCTTGGTTCCTTCCTATACAAACGAGATAGAGCGCTTATCATGTTGAATGTAACAATATGATTCTAGTAAGAGGGAACAATGGAGCGTGAGATGGGTCGGAGAATCGGAGCAGCGGGAGCGGTACTGCAGTCTCTTTACCGCACCGTTGTGACGAAAAGGGAGCTGAGCCAGAAGGCAAAGCTCTCTGTCTACCGCGCCATTTTCGTTCCTACCCTCACCTATGGTCATGAAGGATGGGTCATGACCGAAAGAACGAGATCGCGGGTACAAGCGGCCGAGATGGGTTTTCTCCGCAGGGTGGCTGGTGTCTCCCTTAGGGATAAGGTGAGAAGTTCGGTCATCAGGGAGGGACTCGGAGTTGAGCCGCTCCTCCTTCGCGTCGAAAGGAGCCAGTTGAGGTGGTTCGGGCACCTAGTTAGGATGCCACCTGGGCGCCTCCCTAGGGAGGTGTTCCAGGCACGTCCAGCTGGGAAGAGACCAAGGGGTAGACCTAGAACCAGATGGAGGGATTATATCTCTTCGCTGGCCTGGGAGCGCCTTGGGATCCCCCAGTCAGAGCTGGTTGATGTGGCCAGGGAAAAGAAAGTTTGGGGCTCTCTGCTGGAACTGCTACCTCCGCGACCCGACCACGGATAAGCGGGAGAAGATGGATGGATGGATGGAACCTGATGTCCATATGGTTTAAGATACATTATTGGCTAAATAAGCAGTCAACGCAACAGCTGAGCATTTCTGCGATACAACTTGCTGTGAACCAATGAATCTCTGATTCTGTTTCGGCTGGAAATTTGCAATAATAATAATTTTTGGTTTCATATTTGCATTTCTGCCAGTGCTGTGACATGTTCACCTGCCTTAATGTTCAAACAGGTGTTTTCTTTTCTCATACTGTCTGTCCTGCAGCACTCTTTTCACCCTCTGTCTGAAACCAGAGCCCAGTCTGCTCTGATGGTTAGTTGGCCTTCTCTGTTGTGACTGGGAAACTGCTTCATCACGTACAATGTGTTGGAGCGCTAGCCAATAGAAGCGCGAGTGTTCCATAGTGAAGTCACAAACAATGTTACGGAAGTAAACAAAGAAGTCAGCTACTAGGGGCCCAAGGTGCCAGTTATCTGTCAACTGTTGAAAATATATAAATGTTGCCTGTATTGCTTTTGAATTTTTGAATTGAATTGTGTCTTCAGACCTTAGTTTCTTCATCCAAGAGTCGCTTCAACTCTTCAATCTGTTGACCTCCGACGTTTTTGATTCTGTTCAGCTGCGACAGAGTGATCTCCTTCTCCTCCAGCATACGGGTTAGCTCACCTGTTTGAAAAATGACACAAAATAAATATACCTACATCTTAATTGTATCTTATAAAAAAGTTCACATTAAGAAACGTACCATTTTCAGTTGTTTGGCGACTACTGAGCGTTGTGTAATCACTCAGAGACCTCTGGGCTTCGTCTGCTTTGGTTTTATATTCATTCATCTGATCTTCAAGGCTCCTGCACAGTTTCTCCAGATGAGCCTGAAATATTTAGCACCTGTTATAAGTATCAAAAGAGGAGCGTAGATTAGAAACCATCCTCATATCTGGAGATCTTTTACCTTGCTTTTCAGGACACTCTCCGTGTTGCTCGCCATGTCGTCGATTTCCATCTTCAGCTCACTATTCTCCTTCTCCTGTTTCTGCTTGACTCTCTGGAGGTTTTCGATCTGCTCGCTGAGTTCGGCCACACTATCGGCCTGTTTCTTGCGCAGAGTTGCAGCGATGGTGTCGTGCTGCAGGGAGGATTCCTCTAGATCACGACGCAGCCTCTGGAAATCGGTGTCGTGCTTCTTGTTCATCTCGGCCTGAGCGGCGGTGGCCCCCCCGGCCTCATCCAGCCTCTCGCTGATCTCCTCCAGCTCTCGGGACAGATCACATCGCTGCTTCTCCACTTTGGCTCGAGCCGAGCGCTCAGACTCTATTGCTTCTTCTAACTCTTCAGTGCGAGCCTACAGGAAAGGTGTGTTTAAAAACCTGTTCAACTTCTTATGATAGTAAAGAAAATGCATTGGAAAATATCTACTATTGTTATGAATCATACCTGAAGCTCTTTAATTTTCTTTTGTATTTGGGTATTCAGGACTTGCTCAACATCGACTTTGCTCTGCAGATTGCTGATTTCAAAGTCCTTTCTGAAAAGAGTACATTTTCAGCACATCAGATATTTCCATGCTTTATTACAAAAATGCCTAAAAACCCATAAAAACAAGAAGTTTCTACATATTTTCCAACATTGTGGAAAATATTCTGATTTGTAGCTGGAGTAAGCAGTCAGGTAGCTTTGCTTATAGAGAGGCGAAGTCCCTCCCTTTCCGGGGACCTCCATGGGACCTTATTTCGGAAAAAGTATATCAAAGTCAATGGAGAGAGAAAGATTATATTTCGATCCCGTTTGAATTGTGCCACGAATTACACAAATGATGTTTGTCAATTTAAACGATAATTTTGCAAGTCAAAAAAATAAAAATGGGTCGTAAAACTGTGAAGTAACACATTTGTTTGTGTGAAACGCTCAATGAACTACATCTCCCGTCTCGCACCACACACCAAGACGACCGTCACGTTGGCACATTTAACTTCTTTCTTTCAGAATGAGGCGAAAAGTATTAAAAGAGGTGAAAATCACTACAAGTCTGGGCATGTTGAGAGCTGTACATACACACAAGGGGAGTTAGTCGGTTCCGTAAGAGCCAGCATGCGGGACCGGGATTTTTAGTCTTTCTAGTTGTGTATTTTTCATAGTCTTACACTGAACAAAAATATAAATGCAACACTTTTGTTTTTGCTCCCATTTTTCATGAAATGAACTCAAAGATCTAAAACATTTTCTATATACACAAAATAACCATTTCTCTCAAATATTGTTCACAAATCTGAAAAAATCTGTGATAGTGAGCACTTCTTTCTTTCTAGGTCCGGCCAAAAAGAACATGTTAAAAAAAGGTTGGTCCATAAGGATGTCTTCAAAGGGTACCGTGATCATTAAAGCGGGTGGTTTAAAAGTTCCAACATACATTTCCGGGCTGGTGTTGGTTCGAACCCCCTGGTTGGGTTTCTTTGAGGGGTTTCCTGCCCCCCTGGGGGGCTTTCGAACAAACAGATAACAGGCGGAAGGTTGCGAGGAGACGCAGCCACCGGTACACAAGCGGTGGAAACCTTGTTGGTGGTGGCCGGTCCTCTTTGAAGTTTCCCGGCTGCCCCCCGGTCGTCTCGAGGGTCGGGCTGCCCCCACTGCTTGAAACGGTGGGTTACGGCACTCGTCAACCGTTTATTTGACAGGGAATGGTCCGTCGCCGGAATCGCCCGGCCTTTCGGCGTTTCTCTGAAAAATTGGTAAAAGCCGCTATTAAAAGCGCGGCTTATAAGCCACGTAGGGATCATTTCTCCTTACCAGGTTTTAAAGGAGGGACCTGGCAACACGTCAGACTATTACGTTGATATCCTTTGACAGAACCACTCCAATAACACGGTTTCCTCCCAGTTGGTCAAATAATTTTTTAGGTTCACAAGTGTATGAAAAAAGGGTGGGACGTGAAACTTGACAAATGTACCTACACAAGTTATTTTTGTAATTTTTGTATAACAAACACACCAAAATACGAATTCGTCTGACACAACAGATAACAACACTGTAGATCTACTTCTAGTCTTGTGTAGAAAGTACTGTTAAATACGTCTGTTGGTCCATCAAGGTTTCCTTTACCCAAGTGTATGAAAAAAGAAACGTTGACTAGANTGCCCTTATGTCTCGTAAAACATATCAAATCCTACATTCACTTTTTTAATTGTAATTTTCAAGCAAGTTTAGGCACAAGTGTAGAAAAAAAAAAAACCTGCAAGCAGGTTTTTTTTTTTTCTACACTTGTGCCTAAACTTGCTTGAAAATTACAATTAAAAAAGTGAATGTAGGATTTGATATGTTTTACGAGACATAAGGGCAGGAATTCAGAGGGAAAGGAGCAATTTTGAGCTCTGCTCTTAAAAACGGCTTTTTTTTAAGGTCATGCGTCAAACGCGTCATATTGCATAACAAAGGGTAAACATCTCCGCTCTCTGACCGCGGGTATAGTTAGTAGTTGCGTTGAGTTGAGCGGTTGTGTTTTAGTGAGCTGGTATTTTTCGGTAGTTTTACATTGTATTTCACGATTTGTAATCATGGTGCAGTATTGTGTTTGTGCAGGTTGCACAAATACCAGCCTGTCAGGACATCGAGTCCACAGTAAAAAGGACCGGAGCTAGCGTTCGTTCCTGGGTGCGTTGTGCATCCACCTCCCTGCAGCAAATACTCTCCACAGCTTTATCAGGAAACCGTATTACATCTCTCTAGCATTGGGATCCATGTTTATTAATACGTTACACCGGCCGCTCTCCCCCTTGATTCCCCCTTGTGTTACGTCACACGCGGGAGGTCACGTAAACGACGCCAGATGTCACTGTAGTGTATATTTCTGTATATTTTTTTGAAAATCTAGTGTATTCATCATTTTCCTACACATTTATTCACAGGTGTCTTTAACCTGGAAGTTGCTCTTTAAACCTTATTCATTAAATGAGAATATTTTATTTTCGAGGTTGAACCTGTGTAGCCAAAATACAAACAATCAGAACTTACAGACAATAATTGAAAACAATTAAAGCCATTATGACAGAAATAAATCCTACTTTTTTAATTTATATGGCTTTCAATCTTCAAAATGGTTTTATTTTATTATTTGCAAAGAGATTTTCTCATATTCTAACTTTTGCCCTATAGGACAAATACATGCTGTTCGCTGTATTATGTGTTTGATGCATGCAACCATATCAATGTTGTTGCTAATCATTGACATACCCCAAGTTGTAAAATATCCCCCAAGCATTTATTATTAATAAAAGAAAGACATTTAATGTTTATTTTTTCACAACAACAATTGGCATTATTTAAACAAATGGGCATTTCAAGGGTTGAAATTCTAAAAATGTATGAATATTTAGCAGTAACAATTATGATGCATATGCGTGCTAAAAGATTTTACTGAAAGTGGAAAATACATTTTTTATTAAGTTTTATGGCAGTTTTATGACACAGCCAGAAATGTTATAAAAGTCACCAAATATAAAGACATTTTGCACAGTAAGAAAGATGTTGAGGGTCAGTGTATGTTTTGGTCATTGAATTTTCTTTTCACAAATGGATATTCATAAACAAAAAACGACTGGATATTTGATTTTCGTTTTAAAATGGAAAAACCAAAATTGAAATACAAGGCGTTTTTCTTTATCATGGTCAAAAATGGATTTACTAAACTTAAAAAACTGGATGATTTTCATTTTCTACTTCTCAAAACAAAAAATAAAATCACTAGAAAACAGAAACAAAAAAACTACCGTTTTTATGGTTTTTTCATATTCTGCTACCGGAAGTAACCTTACAAAATAAGAGCGCAGACGAAACTCACGGAAGTGATTTCAAAACAAAAGCACTCGTAGGCTATGCTAAAATCACACTTTGAATCACTACAGTATCCCGTTGAAGGAACTGTGATTATTATAATTAAGGGGAATTTAGCAATCACAATGAAGACGGCCAAGACACACC